TAGAAGAATGCCTCTTCTATTGTTCGGCGAGAACTATTTCATTATTGAATTATTTCCTTTAACCTTATTAAAGTTTTATTCAATGTTTATAATTTTATTCGTTAATTTAAATATTTTAAATCTACTTTCGTTTAGTAAAAGGAATTACTGAATTCAAAAAATATATTTGTTTATAATAGTTTTTATTACAATACTAGTGCTGTAACGAATTGAATTCTGCATTTGTTTCTAACATAATAACGTTTAAAAAATGTTCGCTGTTGTGAAATATATTTTTGTACCGTTTGTTTCGTTATTCTACGAAAGTAGATAAAATCTCGTATAATATTTGTATTGTAAATTCATATTGGGACATTCAAGGTATCGTCAAGTTCTGTTAGTTCTGTTAGTGCTTTGTAAGAATGAATCTTTCCAACGCTCGCATGTTAAATAAAAATAACTGAAAAATATTTTACATTATATTCGGGCAAAGAATAAAATCATATAAATATTTTGTAAAACAGATATATTATATCCAACTCTTACGATTAGAAGAATAAATATTTCCGGCCCATCTTGAAAAAATTTCCGCCGGCTTTCGCCCAAGCGAAAAATGAAGCTGGCGCCGCCACTGGACAAATAAAACAATTGAATATTTATTGCAAAAAATACAGATAACACATAATATGGAAACCGTTGAGGTAGGACCTTTTAGATCGGCATGAAAAAAATGTACTATATTTCTGACGTGTCGCAAGCACGAGCAGTTCACATCTTCAGAAATATGTTTCACTGTAAACCTTACATTGAACTATTCGGATTGCTAGGGTGCAGTCCGTATTTATTCATAAATTGTGATAACGTTTCGTCTTGTTTTTCTTTCATATTTTTCTAGCACATTGCTTCTCCAGCTGCTGATTTTTTTGTGGTTCATACGTGGACGCTGTTCGTACGTGTTCGCTAGATTCCTGCAGATGCGAGTAAAGACAGGTTGTCCTTAAACGACTTTTCGCAGTCTTGAATCTTTAGGATGCAGATATATTAATTTGTGTTTGCGAGAGTGCTAAATGCCCTTTTTTATTTAGCTGTTTGATTTTAACACGATGGTCATTACCAACTATTTTACTGGTTATCTTTAAGGACTACTATGTAGAGTTCTTATCGTCTCAATCGTCTTAAGCTGGAGTTTAGCAGAATTAATGTGCGGATGAAAGGCGAGGATAACTCTATCATTTAACATTTTCTTGAAAGCACAAATTTATAAAATAATTGTTAATATATAATAGTCTAACAATTTTAATAAATTAAACAGCAACTATTCACAATTTAGTGACATTGGAGTGTCAATTAATTTATAGCTAAAACAAAGTAGCAAATAAAACACTGGCAATGAAGGCTGTGAATGCCATTTTGAATAAGGAACTGGCGCTACTAGTTTCAGCATTTTGAAAAACTTTGCTATTGCATCTTGTGGTATTACAGCTCTCACAATCAGTCAAGATAGCGTTTCTACCGTCGACTTCTTCTTTCAACCAGTCGCAATAGTTAGTTACGGCAACACCTTGTGTACGACATCCACGGTGAATTCCACTGTTATTTGCCTCAGCTCCTAAAAGAAAAATTTCTTTGAAATTTTTTTTTATCAAACAGTGCTCTAAAGTATTAAGAAAAAGTCCTGATTTGCGATTGATGGTCATAAAAAAATAATGATTGTAGTGATTCGTTGAGAATGTTTTGTTGCATTCTCAGGAGACTTGCTGTGGATTTGTCTTTAAGTAAAACTCGTCTTTTAATAAACGTGTCGAGCACACTCTCATTAGGAAAGCGGTAATTTCTTGAGTGTCCGCGGGCATATTAGTAGAAATTCTTCTTTGCTCGCTGGAATCAATTAAAATAATTCAACCGCTGTATTCGTATTTTTTTCTACAGACATAATTTTGTTTTGGTCAACGCAATGTAGTGGAGTGATATTCTAACCGTCACAGATTTTTATGAGTATCACATGTAAAACTGATAAAATGTGGTACGTTTAAAATTTAAAAAAGGTGCGCATCACAGGATGCTCAACAGAAGTGAGTGAACTTCCTTCATATTATTAATGGAAACCATAAAATATTGACCTTTTAACGCCTGATGGCAATATTAATTCATAGTTTCAATACTCTTGTTAAAGTTCCAGTTGAAGTATAAGAATTTGTAAATGAATCAGAAATAGGTAACATGTAACTTAATTTCCTTTTGAATGTAAAATTTATATAATATTTACACAACATTAAACATTCTTCAATAGTTGCAGTTGACTCGATGGTAGTTGCGTTCATAATCATATCTGATCCTGCAAAAGCGACAATGAGTTTATGATAACTGTAATAAGAAACGAATTGTGACACTCGATTTTATCTTGCGCGATTGTAACTTGTTCTGGATAATTTACCATCTTTGATTGGAACTTTGATTCAAGAAATTACATTAAATTTTATGCACTATCAGACGAAAAGGCAACATTAATATCTCCACTTAAAATAAACGGAAATTTATGGTAGTTTTGGCCAAGGCAAGTAGTTTTCGTCCGAACTTCGTTCGTCATAAATCGTGCCAAAATGAGGTAATGATCAACTTCCGTTTACTCGAACTGAAGTCCCGGAGTACGAATGTCTTACGAACCATCGCGATGTGTTGCAGGTTCGCAGTATTTCTGACTGAATCGGCAGTATTTTTGTGACACACCGAACTGAAATGGATGTTGAAAAACTAATACCTAAGCCTATCTGCTTCTCTTTAAATCTTCGTGTAAATGACAAAATTCTCCAAATTCTTTTCGCTTTGCTAATGTATCTGCGACCCAATAGTTTTTTCCTTTTTACTGTAATTGTCTTCTCACAAGATAAAAATTTTTCAAAAGAAAATTATCAATTATTATTTACAGTTGGAAAATTAAGCTGATTATTATATAATCACCCTGTATAAATGTGCTTATTTGATACATAACAACCTAAGCCTAAGGCCTAAGGTTCCGTTTTACTTCGTACAAATGATTTCGGATCTAGTGGGCGAGATTCCATATGTTGCAATGAAATTGGATCATTAGTTCCTTTTCGCACAATTTATGACGAAAACATCCAAAGGACACGGGCCACGGACTACACACTTTCATATTCACACGAACGGACCACAGTCTACACACTATTACAATAGACGATCGGCCTAATGGAACCAGATGGAACTCGCGGGTGGCTGTGTGCGTGCGAGAGAGAACTACGTACTTGTCTTTATCTTTGCCAGAAATACCGCCGCCGTTACGCATTCCAATGCATTCACTCCTTCTATAAGAAGTTCTCACTTCAAAAATGCAGAAAGAACAGATTTGTTTACGCATAAACTGTGAACAATAGGCCTCGGCAACTCAGTGAGTTTTCAGGAGTTGGCGCAGTGCTGTGCAAATGGCTTGGTGCGTCAACCCAACGCACCGGCACAATAACAGTTCCGTTGCTGGGAAAATGTTGATGACTTTTTTTACTTGTGTTAGATTTATTTTAAAGGCCACTTATTAATAATATTTTTTAAATGTCTTCAAATTTTAGAATGAAGGTATTTTCCGCGAAAAATTATGAAATAAGTTTCAAATCCTTCGTCGCTTTGTAAAAAGTTTTGAAATCCTATACCAGTTTCGAATTTGGAACAAACAGCAAATAATTTTCTATCAAAAAACGATTTTTAGATTTAACTGTTTTTTTGCTTTACTTTCTACTCAAAAACGATCTATTTTGCAGAGGATTTTGTTTCAGTTAAAAGATCTGGAGGACTGTTACGCGAAAAATTACAAGATAAATTTATGGCTTTGTAAAAGTTTTACAAAAACTTTTTTCAACGTCGAATTGGGGCAAAAACTCAAAACCAAAATACAGTCCTCCCGGTTTTTCCCCAGAAACCATTAAGGTTTTCTCCAAAACCGATCACAAAACTGAAAGTTTTTAATCGAAAACGCAAAAAATCATTATTTTCTGATGATTTTCTACTTTTCTGACAATGGTCTTAATTAATTATTTTTGATAGGAAATTCACCTCATTCATCGGTTTGCAGGGAACCTTACAAAGCCCATTAGCTACAAATTTGGCACAAAAAGCAAATAAATTATTTCAGATTTTTACCGAAAGTAATTAGGATTGTCTTGAAAAAAACGACCAGACCAAAAATTTACAAAAAATGATTTGAAAAAATCACCGCCCTCGTCGCTCTGAAGAATTTTAAAGTTTCTTTAAATTTTCAGGTCATTCCAGTTTTTACAAAGTTTCTATTAAGCAATTCTTTCTCCGCAGGAATCGCATTATTTTTCAGTTTTACTTAAGATACTGAAAATCTTCAGATATTTTCTGCGAAAAATTATAATATACATTTTAATGGAACACTCGCCTGCTTAACCGCTTTGCAAAAAACTGTAATAATTATTTCTGCGTGTTTTTCGAAAAATATTTTCCCGGACTAAAAAAGCGAAAGTTTATAATAATTTATTTGGAAAACTGGAGTTACTTCAACTTTAGGTCAATATATCTAAACGACACTGTCTCTAAACAGAAAAACCGCGTTTTTCGTAACGTTTTACTGTAAAATATTGATAAACTGAATCTTTTATTCAAAAAAATAAGAAATCGATTTTACAAGAAAACTCGTCGATTTTCTTTGGACTCCGTTCTGTTGCAGGAAAAATCTGCATTACTTTTTTTAGTTGTTTGAACAAAGTAGTAACACGATACTAAGAAAAAATGTTGATGACCTTTTTTTTAAATGTGAAAATTCCAGTCTCGAGTCTCGTAACGTTTTAATAAATGAATTATAACTCATTAACCGATGAGTTATAACTCGGAGAGCGGCAGCAACTCAATAGCGCAACTTAACACAGTGTTAGCCAGGCCTAGTGAATACTACAAGATTTTTCAAAGACGACGAAATCGTGGCAAAATGATTAGGACATAAATAGGACAAAAATAATTGGTTCCAGCTTCAAGTTCCGAAGAAAAATGATTTTGTAATTTTTGGATGAAGCCATTCAATAAGTGACCACTTGCCGAAAGCGGATAGACGCTAAAGCTTTATCAAGATAAGAGTATTACTTGGTAAACAAACCCAGAACAGTTTTCATTAAAATTTATCGGCACATACTCCCAGTATTAGCAAAAGTACAATTTTTGTGAATAACTTTGAGTGAGCCCTCTTTTTTATGAAAGTTACGTCAGATCATATCTTATTGAGTGATATACTAATATAAAAATAATAGATTAGTGGAGCACCATTTTGTTGATGTGCTTATGGGACACCTTGTACAGTATCTGAATAAACAAAAGAAGCTATGACTGAGAAATTCTATGACAATTTATTTCTTAATTTGGAGAACCGCACACCTCGCACCTTTCATTGATATGGCAATAAATGTTTCAAGTAACCATGAGATAATCAATTCGTCATTTACAGATAATCTAAACGATACGTCACGCTTCTTCAATGAAACAAACATTTTTACCTACATTAACTTGTAATTATTAAACGTGAAAATTAGAACGTTCTTCATGCACTTATTTCTCGGTTATCAACTAATCGCAGCCACTTTCACTTTTGCATCGACACTTGGAATAAAATATATCTTCAAGAACAATATTATTACCATTCACAGTCCGGTGAGTGCATGATGTAGAAACACTTACCAGAATAAGTAATATTTGCAGACATACAAACTAATGTTGAATTAAGTTCGGAAAAACAGGTTATTTGTTGAACACCCGATGCAACTGGACTAGCGCATTGTTCTGCAAAATTGCCTGGATCGCATTCGTAGCATATCAAAGATCTTAATGTGGTTGCTGCAAAATCTTGCGCCGACACTAAAAAAATAAAATGTTATCAGACTAGTATTGCAAATGGTCAAATCTAACTGCAGTAATTAGTGAGTCGGGGTAAAAACTTACCAAAACAAATTCCTGCAATGAAGACTAAAGGAAAAACTGTCGGAAAATACATCCCCATGCTTTAAAAATAATCCTATGAAGCGACTAGGCGTTTCAAAATCAATTAAATTTTGTCAAATCTCAAAGATCATATCACCTACTCGTATTTATTTACAATGATGAAAAAGCTTCTAATATTTTATCTGAGCTCGATAACAAAGATAAAGGTTTGTTAAAAACAACACAAACGTATAGCGCTCACTCTTTTTATCAGCCAATCATACAGGTAGGTCACTATTTGACCAAAAATTCCAAATGACTCAAAGCTATTTTCCAGGATTCTCAGAAGGAAAAATCGGTTCTCACAAAAAGGGTGAATTGAAAATTTACAATACAATAAAATATGATTACATGAAGAAGTGTGTCCAGGATGTATGGAAAAAGGCTTTTTTGATTTTAATACAGTCAGCAGATGCTTTACATTCGACTGACTCAAGTTTCTAAAGCTTCCAGTGTTCAAAATTTTTCTTCTGAATTTTGATCCCGAAGGATTTATTGCCAAATAGAACTCTTGGATGTTGTGTTAGGCAATGCGTGTAGCCTGCCAAAATAACATACAATTTCTGGCCAGGTAATCCGAAGAAGGAGATTGGAAGCCACAAAAGTATGATACATTTTCTACCCTGGAAATATATTTGAAGAACACCAATTTTGTTCAAAAGCAATTTTTCAGGCTCAGCAAACGCTGAGAATCTGACACTGCACTGTGATTCCACTGGAAAGAAATCTGAATTTTAGCATTATTTTTTTAGTTAGGAAAATAAAATTTTGTTGGGGAAAGGAAGCAGACCTGTCTGGTTTCTCTTCGTACGGTAGCAACCTATACTCTTTTATTATTTGTTCTTTTAGTGATATCGGCTTTTATTTGGTACTCTGTGTTTTTCTTTGCTGCAATTCCTGCATATTTGACACCTAACTTGGGATGAGTTATGTGACCGTCAGCTATTATTGCTGTATAATCTGGTGAATTTTTTTATTTATTTGGTGATTTGAGGAGAGGTAGTTGTTTATTCCTTTTTGTGTTCCTTATTTATAGAACAATTTCATTGTAAATGAATGTAAGAGCTTTAAAATTGCACTGCTCTTTAGTATCTGAAGCTGAGCTACAATAAGTCTAGTATCATCAGCATATTGTAATATGATGCTAATTTGTATATTTTGTTAGTTTTTCTTTTATCGCACAGTTCGTGAAAGTATATTATAGGGAAAGGTATAGAACGACGATTCGTTTTATACAAATAATAAACTGAAATTAAGTAAAAGTTACAATGCGATGGTTTTCACAACTATTTGCTTTCTTCATTAACTACTTACACAAATTGCAATTCAGGATGTATGACTAGGTGATAGCGAGATAATCTAATACAAATATCCCTTTAACACAAAAGTTAGCCTAAAAATATTTCCAATGATACACAAACGTTCACAATCTAATCATTCTTACGTCAATAATCGAAAACTCAGTGAGGCTCTTCTAGGTATAACTCATTGTTAGTTTCCTAAATTTTGGTCTTGAAGTTTTTAAGATGAAAGTGTGTAAAAGTAATTAAATTGTGTCAATCAATGAATCAAGGACTGTAAATTTGTTAAATTATGGCACTAAAATATACGTGATAAATAAACAAATGGCACCAACAGCCGAAATTACCTTGGAGTAGAAAAATTACTTCAATCGTTTAATCCAGCTCAAATATTGGAGAAGCTTTTGCAAACAATATTATTCATAGAACTACTGAATTGATTATCAATTTTAAGAAACCACTATAAGTGAATGATGCCTGAAAATGGTTGGTAACCTGAAAAACATAGATAAATATAGAAGTAATTGATCAGATCACATTTGGAATAATATCAATTGATGTGGAAGAAAAATTCAGCTCAGAAAGTTGCCATCGGTAACTAAGTGAAAGAGATAATATTTTATCAGCTAATAATAATGATTCTTAAACTCATAGTAAGCTTTTTAACTTAGACAGATGTAATTTATCCTCTTATTTTAATCCAGTTTATGATATATACGATTAAAATCGATACTAATGAAATAATGCATAACTATTTTATAACATGTACAAATTGTGAATGTCACCGTTCGATTAGTGAGCAGTAACAAACAAACAAGTTACCGTCAAAGTGAGCAAAAACGATGTTTAGATTCATTGTAATTAAAGTTTACCAAGAGCTTTAGTGTAAAATCAAAATTAAATTTTAATATAATATAAAAGTAAATATACATTTACACTGTGTTCATAAATAAAATAATAAATTGTATTAAAATTCAGGATCCTTTTTTTCAGAAAAACATTCGGACACGTTTTGAATTATTCCTATAAGAAAGTAATATATGGGGTGTTCCAGCTTTACGATATGACCCTCAATTTGAAAATTTCTGAACCGTCTAAAGTAAGCTGCATAATGTTCTTGCAGGAATGATGAATTTGTATCGTGTTTTATCAGGTTATAGACAATGTAAAAAACACATTTAAAATTTCATTTTACTCAATTTGACGGTTCAACGTATCTCCAAAAGAATAAGACCCGGTAATCTGATTTTTGTTATGAATTTTGCCAAATCAGTAATATTTTCAGGATATTGAGTGTGTATTTCCTTCATCCATCGGGGAAGCAGGATGCTGGAACGACTAGTGAAACATTAATATTAAATGTACTTTCTTTCTGCAAGTTTTTTAAAATTAATGTTTAAGTTTTTATTTAATAACGATTAGAAAACATCATACATAAATTTTAAGTTTAATTGCATCGTTCCAAATATATTTTTCTTTACCAAGCGTAAAATTACATAGATTGCAATAAATTAATTATCATTCACTATAAGGGAGGGTAAATGTGAACAATGGTTTTGATTGAGGGTGAATCTCCTACAAACTCTAGGTCGACAGGAAATTCTATTACTTTTAGTAGTTTTTTACATAAATGAAGTAACAAAATGCATATGTTTTATATAAAAGCTTTATTTTCTAAAAAGAATACTAATTTCGGGAAAAATTGTGCTATACATACATAAATCTAATTGAAAATGTGCTAAGATAAATTGGAATAAAATCGAAGAGTATTAAATTTAAAATTCAACAGAGTCGCTGATAAATTTGCTTTTTAGTTCTCAAAAATGTGCATTTCTACCGGATAGGATGTTGGAATAATTGACGGTTTAAAACAAATTAACAGAGATATTATTAGGCCTTATTTTCCACAAATTCTATTTTTTTTATCTGTTTAAAATCACCTTGTATATTGAGTTTTAAACCCCAAGAATTACTTGGTGTACTTAAGTAAAAATTCCTTTCGTTCGATCACTAATTAAATTCATATCAGTTAAACACCAGAAACGATCATAAATTTGACCTAAACATCGATCATTATATCATAAAATAATATCCGTAATGAAGGGCAGTAAAAATATTTATTAAAGGATTAATAATTATCAATTTACAATGCCAGAATCTAATTTCATCTCAAGTTTATTGCGACAATTCTTCCACTTTCGTTAGTTATCCTTTTGATGACACTGTGCGATAAGATGTCTTGGCAAGTTCTTGCTTTTGTGTGTTTTACGTTACTCCTACAGTCTGGTAAGGCAACGTTTAGTATTAGTTTAAAGTACCTAACTATAGTCTGGAAAAGAATTAAAAATCTCAAAATTGTTAGCTTCCATTAAAAATGTGAACTTCTTTCTCGTTAAATACATTTATTTATTATATAAGTTATATGTACAATTTTTCGCAAGAAGAAAGTTATTGTAATCTGTAGAACAAAAAATTTTATAAACTAATAAAATTTGGTTGTAAGTGTGTGGTACATTATATTTAAAATAGGCTCTAAAATAGGAAAATAGGCTTTAAAATAGGAAAATTGAAAACCATAGAAACCTTCCAATCAATTGGGATCTATTTGAATATACTAGATCAAATATTATTTAACGTAATGCATTTATTAGTACGGATTGAAAAACGTTTGAATAGCTCTGATCAACTTTAGCTTCTTGAAATAATTCCAAAAGTATTTTTTAATCTAAATTTAGATCGTTTTCGTTATATCTGACCATTTAATGTCCTTTCACCAGTAATAATTATTTTTAGACAAACTGAAAAATTCAAGTTGTATAAAATGCTTAACAAAGTTAGTATTGGTTAGTTGGTCTAAAAGTAAGGTCACAATAAGAATGATTTCAAATATAAAATGTTTTTCATTTGTTCATGTTAATTTTTTGTCAGACAAGTACCAATTCTAGGTGCAAATATTTCAATTAAATCCAAGAAACATTTTCCATAGAAAATATTGCGTTGTAAATATTCCGCACTAACAGTTTCCGTCGGTATGTATTAGACGCTTTTTAACTTGAAAGCCCCTAAAAAACATATTTTAGTTTTTATAATTTGTATTATTAATTCAGTTTTTTTCATTTTTTTAAATGCTAAGTGCGCTATTTGATACATTCAGATTATAAACAGTTGAATAAAAGTAAAATAAAAATGTAAAGAATGTGTTTAGTATTCTTGCCTCAAACGATTAAGTGTTTCGAATGGATAAATATCAAAATACAAAATTAAATTTTCGATTTTGTTGCATAATTTGCTATAATAAAAATTTTAAAACTTATTTCGTTTTATGGAATTTTTTTTAAACAGCACAAGCAATAATTAAAGATGAGCGTCAGACATGTTAGCATTATACTGTTAAGGAATAGTGCTGTTTAGAAAAATTAGAATAAGATCGCTTGAAAAATAATAAGTCTTTTATAGAGAGCATAACACTTTTGGAAGTATCTTGCCCAAATAACCCATGCGAATTACATTTTTCTGACACTTTAAAATAGCTAATTTGCAAGAAAATTGAAAAAATATATCCATCAACTGTCTATACGACAAAATTAACATATACCAATCAGCCTACAAATTGCAATGAGCTGACGACACTTCACTAATCGTGCACGACAAAACCACAGTAGAAGCTGTAGAGAAACTTCGAACAATAACAGACGAAAAAGAAACTTGTTCCAATACAGACAACGAAAATTCAACTACTTTTACCAAATTAAAAGTAACTCGTCGAGTATAATAAAAGGCGAAAGCAGATCGAACAAACAATGTCTTATAAATATATTTTTTCAGTGGGAGTATATTCCGTTGCCCAACAATGTTACTTCTGCAACAGTGAAGTTCATGGAGCAGGATGCAATGACCCGATTGCTCCAGAAAACATCCAAATTCAAAGCTGTTCCAGCTCGCAAATAGTATCCACCAGTAGCGCTTCCACAGACGATGAAATTTCAGTTCGAAGAGTTCGAGACACATACTCAAATGTCTGCATTAATATGACATACACGTTTGGTACGCTTTATTTCCTGCTATTAATTATTTCAGAAATTATCTTGAATGTAGATCATTTTCGGTTGCTTCAAGTCGGTCGAATTGTTTTAGCGCCGAGAATTTTGCTTTCTAATAGCAGCGCAGTCATTCGTCAATGATTGAGCGACATCTAATCCAGCGTTTTATTATTTTTGCTGTTTGCTGGAACTATCCATCTTAAGAGTGATTAGCACTTTAAGCTCTGCTTACCCAGCTAATTGAATAGCTACATTCTAATACTGATTCCACTTGTCATGTAGACTCAAGAAATGTCTCCTCAAGAGGATGCGAGACTGAGTACATACTCACCAACGCCGGACTCTATGATATCTGCTCTTACTATGCCGCAATTATACCTGCCAGAATAACAAACTTCAACTGCAACGTCTGCATATCTGATCTTTGCAATCACGCTGGCGCCGATACTGGTGAGATCGAGCAACCTGAAGAAGAATTCCCCAACCCTGACGATGACGCTGATGAAGAAGAAACTCCCGAAGAAGAAACTCCAGAACAAGAGGAGGCCGATGATGAGGGCGAAGTAGGTGAAACTGACAGTGCTCATATTGTATCGATTTCGTTCACACTTTTAGTCTCTTTGGTTGTTGGAAAATTATGTATGATTTAAAGTCGTGCTAAAATCTATCATATTGTAATAAAATAAGCATGAAATATAGTTAAAAGTATGTTTTCTAGTCACAGGTTTGGTTTTCCTAAATACATTAATAGATAGCCAAGCAGTCGACATTCATAAATCCCGATCTGTTTTCAAATTTGAAAAAAGTTCTTACACAGTAATGTCGATTGATATATTTACAAACATTAGGAGGATACACTCGCCTCTTCTCTACCCAAAGGCGTAGTTAGGCTTTAAGCTTATTAATCTTAATCGATTTATTGTAAGCATAAAAAGTTCTTTGGTTTTCTGACCTCCAAGTGTACATTATATATTTGAAATTCAAAATGCCATAACAGTAACGACAACAGTTTTACTATAACATAAAGTTGTAGTGTCTTGCAGTCTTGCAAGTCTTGCATGCAAGAATTAATTTAATAATAATAATAATAATAGTAATTAAGTTAAAAGAGAATAATAATCAATACGAAACAATGAAAATAATCTCAGACTATTTGCTATTTTAATAAGTTTAATTATTTTGTAATTCAAAATTGTTGACCCGTACTTTTCCATTGTCACCTAGATCCAGAAGATCTTCATACAGAGAAATTGAACATATTTTCATGTAGTGTAATTTTCATATTCTAATAATTTGATTGGATATTTAAATATTTTGATTGGGTTTACAGAATTGTACTGATAGAAAACAAACTCAATTATTAATAATGCACATAATTCGTTAATTCGATTAAATTTCATTACTGTTTATACAGCAACTGTATATAAGGACTCTGGCAAGGGACATTGGAAAAATAATTATTACAGTGCAGATTGTAAACTATTCATCCAAAACTATTTTCTACTTTTTTTGCTGTTTTTTAGAATGTGCATAATAAAGACATTAATTAACTATTACAATTTTAAATTAAAATTTACCAAAACTGGTGCCAAAATAAAACGTAATTTTCTATATAGAACTACTATGAATAATATGATACAAATGATTGCAAGCTTTTGAAAATATGGATGACGAAGAGCTTAAACAGAGTAACCAACAAGCTCATTCATTGGATAATCGGTGGCGATGATTTCTAATAATTAAGATGCTTTTGAAAAAAGTTTTTCCGCTGGAACTGAAGCTAGAGGAATGACATAAATACCTAAACTATTCGTGATTATTGCAATTGTATTTTTCAAGTTACGAATAGCAGCCTATTTTCATAGAACATAATGTATAGTGTAAGATATAGTCACTTCAATATTACCTATTTCGTCTTAGATGGTTATTGAGCAAAACCAATTAAACGTTAGCAAATGATAAACATATATTAAAGAAAGATAAATTGATATTAAGCAAATTATAAATAAATACTAGAAAATATAAGTATATATTCAGCTCCAGTCAAAAGAGTTACTCTATGAGACAAACTCAGCTTGTACTTGGACAAACAGAAGGGTACAAACGCTAATTATGTCGATCAATTAGCAATTTTACGTAGGAAATATCGACAACTAACTAACTTTATTTTGCAAATATTTATACCACCTACCCCCGATTTAGATAATCTGAAAGAAAAGCGAAAACATCAATCACATTTAAAGTACGTATTGTTTTATTTATGTGACACTTGTTCAGAGCTTTAGTTTCTAATTTAAGGTTTTCGGTTAAGGTTATTTTTCTTATTCATCATATTTAAGGTCTACGAAGTCAGATTTGATGCGGTTCAGTATCGGATTACCGTATAAACCGAGACTGTCGCAAGACTCTTGCAAAAGTCTGGGTCTTACAGGACATAGTCATGCTCTTGGTCTTGCAAATCAAAGGCCAAAGCAAAAACAAAAATTTGTAAGACCAAGACCAAGACCATTCTCGCTCATCACTACTCAGCTTCGTCTCACAAAGCAAAAATGGTTAAAAAGAAACGTTCCCAGCTTCATTTCGTCAACACAAAGGATTGCAAATTAGCTGCATGCGAACCCGATGGTTTCCTCTTTCTGGGGTATTTTGAAGCCAACGGCTAGCTCAAAGAAACACGAAACTTTGGAGGACTCAAGGGAACACTTCAATGGGAATAGCAACGTATACCACAAAGTCACGTGTTCAAGAATATTGTGAAGAAAAAAGGAACGATCGAAATTAAAAAATATAAATGCAGTTTTTCAAGGTGTGTGTTTCGAGCAGCTCCAGAACAGGATGGAGCTTTAAGGACACGTAATTTCGTTATGTGGAGACGTTAGGTGGCTTACGCCTTCACGCGATCTTCCCGATGCGACGTTTTCCTCTAAGGCTATCTGAAAGCGGCTGTTTCACAACGGAATTACAAGAAAACCGCCTCAAATAACTCCTCAAAAATGAAAAATCTTACAAAAATCAGCGTCGAATGTGTATTGAAAAAAATGGTCACCACTTGGACTCGTATTTTTCAAAACTTAAAAAAGTAAATAGCATTGCGTACATTTTCAGGGAATAAATAAAAATCTAAATAGAATGTCCAATGTCGTTTTTATTAAAGGTTAAAATGTGTTACAAGTACAATGTACAACAATGTTTACAAAGTATGATTGTGTGGTTGAAAGCGTATTCCCTTAGTCACTTTAGGACCTTTGGGCAATTGTATGGCCACTTATTCCGGCTATTCTTATAAACTAAGACGTAGTATCGTTTCTGCTAGGATCAGCATAATTTAACTATAAAAGAACCCTCAGCAGAAACGAGAATTCAGTCATTAGATGTTTGGTCAGAAGGCATGAGAATTGAGTTAAAGATAGTTAGTCTATGGTTAGGTTCGGTCCCTGAACAGGTAAAGTTAAAGTTAAAGTTAAGTCAGTCTACGGTTAGGTTCGGTCATAAATAAAATCCATATTCAAAAATTGTATATATTAATTTTCAAATGAAAGTGTTTTTAACAACGCAAGTTTCAAATTAATCAATAAAATTAGACAAACCATTTTTACAAACATATGCCCAGCCGAGTCAAACCTCGGCAATTCCCGTGCAAATTCGTCGATTTAGTCTATTTTTTATGGTGTATAGAAAATACTGCGCGCAATTCGCTCTGCCAAAATAGTAGAAACAATCACTATTTTTCAATTTTTTATATAAAAAATGTAAATTTTCGTAAAGAGGAATGTTTACTTTGCGGTTTGGTTGTATTTACCACATTAGTGGTGTAATTGTAGACAGTAAACCTCTTTTTTTAAGTTGGGAACTTTCTGACGTTTTAGATAGCCATTACAAGTGAATATCGTTTATATTAAAGTGCATATTTGGAGATTAGACATTGTTGGAAGTGTCTTCGAGATTCTTAAGGTCTCTTGACTATGGTAATGGTCCTGGAATATTGGGATAGAGACGCGGGCAGCTGAATGGTGAGTGCAACATTTATACCATAATTTTTTATTGCATATAAACATGAACTGCAGAGAAAAGTTGAAATTATTACAGCTATATTAGAAAAAAAAAACTGCTCAACAAAATAGACGTTACACGAACAAATTTCGACTAATTTTGAAATTGGATAATTTAGGGCAATTCTTTTTCGCCTCGCGCATGTTTTTGCAAAATTGGTGCTTCAGATAAAGTTTCTACAAGGTGGCAAATAAAACAATGCAAAATTGGTAAATATTCCGCTTGCTCTCAGTTGGACAAAAACCGTTTCTTTTTGTGTTTAGGCACTAAACTAGATCTCATAAAACGAAAAAACTTTTTGGACCATCTCATTTATTTATAGTGATCTCAAAAAATAAACTTTTTGGTCTTGCAATGATACATTTTTCTCTCTTAAACCGATTTTCAAAATTTAGGGCTCATCAGTGGACTTGAAGAAAAATTGATATTTAGACTTTTATGGATGAACAAAATATCTGAAAATAAAATTAACTTCGGTGGAAAGTCTGCCAAAAACACAGATTTCAAGAGTAACTCCGATGTAGGTCATTCTTTATGGCGAACTTTTGGGATAATTTGATATTTATATTAGAAAAAAGTTCGGACATGTCATGTTGATATTCAAAGGGGACGCATTTCACTCCTTTTACGTGAACTCTCTAGTAGGGGTGTCGAGTTCATACAGTTTTACGTTAAGTGAGGTCTAGTGCCCTATTGTAAATGTATTTATATTTTCGTTAGATACCCAAAATGGCACACTCGGATTCAGTATTTGTTACTAATTTATAAAACCAAAAGGTAACATATTTCCACAGTGTATATGATATGATTTAGCAGTGAAGAACTTAATTAAGGCCCATTCAGATCTGACAGCTGAGCCTTATCCTCAGCAAATTCTTTTGATGTTACTCGTCTTGATCTATGAGGTCTGAACGCACCTTTATTAAAGAAGGTAGTCGTTGACCTTCAGACTCTATGGAGTGAGGGGACGGATTACTCTTAGGTGAAAACTTGGAATCCATAGGAGATAAAATAGGTGGATACACATGAAGGGGATCGTAAAGCGATGGTGTTGGGGAAGTTGAGGGAAGTAAACGCTCGTATTGTCCTCTGTCGGCTGTGACTAAAACATCATAAATGGCGTGCTCGACACTTTTTCTGGTCTGTTCGGAGTATGATTTCATTTTTGAAATAATATAATTGCCAAACGCCTGCACCTCTTCAGCTGGGTCTGAAATGGGGGATTTTAATCTACTTTCAGCTCTCGTCATTAGGCCAATATCATCTTCTATTAATAACTTTTGCAGTTTCTTCAGTCGCTTTTGTGGCATTTCATTGGTAGGTGATGGAGAACGTGCAACAATTGTTTCTTGTGCCTCTTGTATTTCGCCGCCGTCTTCCTCCATTTGGCTGTTATCACCTTCTATCTGCTTTTCGGTATCTATTTCTTGTTCCTGGACAATAAAAAGAACCATTAATTTTTACAAATTTCTGTTGTTTTGTTCACGGACAAAATCTTGAACAAAATTTTGCCTTTATAAACGGACGTTATTAATGTGTTACATTTATATAGTTTCTTAACTAACTCAGTAACGTGTTTTGCACCTATTAATAGCCTCTAAACACGATCGAGATTCCTTGAAAAAACTTATGTAAACATACGTTTTTTAAAGCATCAGCCAATGGCCATGTGTATTTTTTTAGAGAATGCAATGGTAGAATTTGGTTTTAATGGCGACCAACTATTTTTAAATACGGTTACCCATTTTTTTAAACTGTGCATTGGCTTTATTTTTTTACTATGGTATAATAATTTTCTTAGTATCTTCATACCAAATTTTTTATAAAAATAATATTCAAAGTTTATGTTCATAAAAACATTTTATTATCTAAAATAGCACAGACTAATTTTTTCCCTACGACTTCTATGGCTGTAAATTTGTAAAAAATGTTAATGTAAATTATAACTTTATATTTGTGGATGTATGGGTCCAGGCTATAATTTTAGATAGTGGAGTATTCAAAAGCACAAATTTGTTTAATAAATTAAAACGAACAGCATTAACGAATTAGCAGATTAATGTGTTAACGAAGGGGCTGTGGCACATGACTTACCGTTTTTAATCTTTGTCGGGGCTTGTGTCTATCTTCTAGAAACCGGAAAGCTTTATATGCAAACCAACGACTGCGGTATACTTCATGTGCTCCTATATAGATATTATACATAAGTACTAATTAATGAACATAAACAAACACTTAATTTGATATTCACTTGCATACTGAAGTACAATTATTTAAGTACATTATTAGTATTCTCAATTCATGTTTCTCAATTCTGATGTACTTTATATCTCTTCGAGTTTCGCGTTTTTTTTTATTTTCCCTTAAAGTGAGAGAAGACTTAAAATATAGTAGTTTCCGTTGAAAGAAATGAGGATTGTCCATAGAATCATGCTAGAACAAATTTACAAACTTTAATAAAATCTCTATATATTTCCGCTAAAGTTTGTGCGGTAATTTTTAAGATGCTTTGAATTTGGATCGGTCTACGTTTATTGTTCGTCTTTAATTGATACTTTTGATTTTTCAAGGAAACTGCGATAAATCTGGTTTCTATCTATAAAACTATAAAGACCGATCTATAAAACTGGAAATTAAAATTGAATTTCATCTAAGACTCAAACAACCCGTGGATTTAAATGTATGAGTCAATATTTCCTAACGAATATACAGGGTGATTCAAAATTGGTGTCATTCCATTTAAGGGGTAATAGAGGCTCACTTAGAGAGTACGAGAAAAATATTGAAATTTTTTTCCGATAATTTCTACAAGATATTAACAGTTGAAAATCGAATTTCAGCTTTGTTATTAAGCATTATTTTGAAATGAACTGAAGTTTCTCCCGTTTTTCCCCGAAAACCATTTAAGTTTTCTCTAAAATCGATAACAAAAGTAAAAGTTTCTTGTCGCAAAAAAAACATTATTTTCTGATGATTTCCTGCTTTTCTGATATAATGCGGTCTTTTCAGCCAAAATGACAAAATTAATTTTGCTAGAAAATTCTCCTTATTCATCGGTTTGCAGGGAACTTTAGAAAACCCTTTTGAGCTTTGAATTTGACACAAAAACTAAATTATTTTATTCACTGTTTTACTGAAAGTAGTTACGATTATCTGAAAAAAACGATCATAGCAAAAGTTTACAAGACATTATTTGCAAAATTCGCCGCCCTCATAACTCTGAAGATTTTTAAAATTTCTTCAAAATTTTCAGGTCATCCTAGTTTTAACAAAGTTTCTATTGAGCAATTCTTTCTACGCAAAAATGGCATTATTTTTTAGTTTTGCTTAAAATACTGAAAATCAGCGTTTTTAGATTAATCGAATTGTTCTATGCATAAAAAGTTCTTTGATCGTCTGACTTCCATATCAACATTATATGTTTAAAATTCAAAATACCTTAACAGTAACGCAATTTTTTAAGCGTTTAGCTACGATTCAATAGGGATTAAACATGTCTCTTGTCTTATATATTTTCCCTCTGATTTATTTTCCTGACTGCGTGTACTTGTTATGATATTCCTATCTTTACTGGGTTTCAGTCAAAGTGTGAAGTAAAAATTTTGAAACATCGTTTATTTCATTACGTTTCGGCGAGACAACAGCGCCGTCATCAGATTTAAAATTTACACAAACTACAAACACCAATTCACAATTAAAACATTTTGTATAAAAACTGTAACTTATAAAGCGTTAAAATATTCGTCAGTTCTTGAGGAAAAAAATCCTTCCTTTTGAGAGAGCAAAACATTTGAAAAACATACCTCATAATTGGTAAACTACGTTTTTTTAGGTCTTTGCCTTCTTGAAACCTTAAATTTGTCTGACTTGTTTTCTACATTTGCGAGAATGGTATGCATGTATTGAGATAAGCGGAAATAGTTTTAATTTTTTCACTAGTGTACTGGGTGTTCTATACTTATGGCTTTATTAGGGTTTGGTAAATGTTGCTAAGGTTGTCGCTATCTGATCTGAAATTTACAGCTTTTGCATGTTTTTTTATTTGTAGATATCATTTCTTGGATTTTTATTTTATGATAATTTTCTTTCCTAACTAATATATCTGTTTTGTTAAAATCGAAATTATGTAACATTTGGTGTGCATGTTGTGTTTTTAGTTGTTTGAACAAAATAGTAAAAAGTTATTTAGGAAAAATGTTGATAACCTTTTTTTGAGATGTGAAAATTTCATTCTCGGGACTCGTAAAGCTTTAATAAATGACTTATAACTCATTAACCGATGAATTATAACTCGTTAACTCAGAGAGCGGCAACAACTCAATAGCGCAACTCAACACAGTGTTACCCAGGCCTAGAGTAGGAGATCTAAATAGTGAGTAGTCTGTGGTTCGTTAAGCCTTGTTCTATGGTTTGTTCTTAAAACAAGATTTAACAGTACACTGGGCATTCTCATTTTCAATCATAAAAACCGGGTTGTTTGAACATGATTTTCAAAAGTTTGGAAGTGTTTTTCTGAAAATTTATGGACAATCCGAATTTTTCACTGACATTCACTGAAACTCCTTTATTTCCAGTGTATTTTTGCGAAAACTCTGGCAGGCAGAATAAACGAGCACCAAATGAATATTATCCAGATTTGCCTACCTTTTGCTGTTCTCATTGATGATTTAATGCGGTTTTTTTCTTTCCTGTATGACGCCAATAAGCTGGTCATTTTCCTCTTACATGCCTCGACCGATTTTCCGACGGCTGAACAAACCTTATTCCACGCGTCCATTTTTCTTTCTTTTTTAAAATAATCTTGATCTTTGGGGTCCCACAAGATTTTATATGATTTATATGTTGCAATTAAGTTTAAAATACTTTCTTCTGACCACTCCATAGCAAAGGACCGTTAACAATAAACTGATCACGTCACAAACTCGCTTCGAACCGTCGAACTCAATTTTTAACGAGCCTGCAAATTTCGTCCCACTAGACGCGGCAATTTCTGTGATGTTTTGTTAAAGCACCGACAGAAAATGCATCGTCAGTCAGTGTTTTCACGAAAGCTCACAGGAATATGCCGCGAGTGAGGCTCGGCGCAAGCTCGGCTCTTCAGGTCTGGACTGGGGCTCGGAATTTTTGAAAATCTGACATTCGAATATTCGTTTAATGGTTTATTCGAATACTCGAATATCTAACGAATATTCGAGTATTCGAATATTCGAATATTCGAGTATTCGAGTATTCGGATATTCGAATATTCGAGTATTCGCATATCCTAATATTCGAATATTCGAATATTCGAGTTATGACTACACATAATTACTGCTTTTTGAATATTCGAATACTCGAATACTCGAATTATTCGAGTTTGATTCCGACCCCTAGTCTGAACCCACCATAAGTTCGACATCGAATAAACTTTAGAAATAAGTTAAATTCTTAAACTTGATATGAAACATAATTATTGACTTATGTAAATAAAAGTCAATAATATGCGAAAATATGAACAATTAATTTTGCAATGGTGTACTTTGTAAGTGAAAGAGTTGAAATCATTTTTAAATGGGCCATTGTTTCAAAAAAATTTCCATCTTTTTGCTCAAATCTCAGAAACAAATTGTGCTCATCCCTAATCTACTCATGAATATAGAATTAAATCTGGAACATCACTTGAAAAATTTTGGGTTTTCCCAGAAAATCCAAAATTTTAATATACGTTTTAGTTAGGCGCGGGTTTAGCAAAATTGGACCATCGGTTCAAACATGACAGTTTTTTGATAAAATCTCAAGAATCATTTTATCCGTGTCGAGATCCTATCAGTGGACAGATAATTCTCAAATTTATTCACAATGCTTGAGGTAGGAAAAAGTGACAGTTTTCACGCAAAAACTCGAAAACGGATCATTTGAAACATGGTGTCACCTTTTTGCTCACATCTCACGAAGAAATTCAGTCTAAGAGCGTATTTCTACACTGCGTGATACAAAATAAAATAATAGATTTTCGACGTGAAATACTGAAATTCGCTTGAAAAGTATTGGCAGTTTTTATACAATAAGCAAATTCTATTAGTATTTAATTAGTTTTAATTAAGTTTGTATTTAATTAATTAAATTATTACTTTTAATTAAGCTGCTTTTTTGGTAATATCTCAAGATCCATTTGGACTACAGCTCGTTTTCCCATCGCTGGATGAATAGAAATTTCAAAAACCAAGTTAGCAAAACAATTGGACTTTGGTATCAATAGGAATTTTTACACAAAAAGCGAAATACTATACATTTAAGTTTACATTTTTATACGGTCATCGATTCAAGCATGAAGCCATCTTTGTGATCTTAATAAAAGTTCCTCGTTATGGTCTTAGGTGCTACTTGAATTTATTCATCACCCCTGTTTCTTTATTTTAATTTGTTTATGATTGTTATACTGCACTGCTTGTTCTGCATAGACGATTAATTTGGATAATTTTTGTGTTTGCACAGTTATTGTCCTTGCATGGGGTACGTTTTGTATTGTTTTTACCATCGTTCATTCTCTTTGTATGTGCTATATTTTGTATTACATTGTTTTTACCATTCGCTTTGTACATAAAATTGGTTTAAATATTTAGATTTTTAATTACAAAAAATTTCGCTAACGCACTCATATCTACTCAACAGTATGGAGAATGAAATAACATGTTTCTTAACTGCAAATACGCTAGTACAATGCTCATTTCTGTGCAAATTCTTCATTCGCATAAAAAGCGAAATTTTTTCACATTCAGCAGTTTTAAACACATTTTTGCCACATAATCTATATATAATGTATCTTCTTTTAAATGTCTCCCTGCTCTAAAACCCCTAAATTTATACGTGGCTGAGAATATCCGTCTATCGCAAAATCTGGAATTGAAACTGATTTTATAATTTTTCCAAAAAATTAAAAGTAAGATCATCGTTTGATAACCATGACGCCCCATTTTCGGTCACAGCGTGATTCGGTCACAGTGTGACCGAAATGGTGAATGTGTGACAGTCACACATTCACCAAGAAAAACATTAATAGTGAACCAAAAATTATCAAATAATTGCGATATACAGAAATGTTATTTCAAAATATGTATCAGGATTTACAAGTTAAACCATATGCCGAAAAGATCAGTTATTTAAAGCCTGTGTACTTTAAGCCAAAGGCTTTGTGGTCAAGTTTAATTTGCTACTTTCCGGGTATTCCGTATCCAGGCTAATTAGAAATTTCAGTTCCATGGGAAATTATTCGTATGTCATTTAACTCGAAACTATTTCCACCCAACCTGTAATATCTCCCGACTTGGAGGTGCAACTGTTGTGAAATAGTTCAGTTCGCCCTTCGAACTTGTGCTGCATCTGTCGGTAGTTGATATCCTGCAAATGCAAATATTTCAGATCAATCGCAAGTAATAATGCTAATTTCAGCAGCTGCTGTATTGCTGCTATGCAAAATTAATTAAATTGATGGGTAAAAAAATGTCTGCAAAAATGTTTTATAAATCAAGTACTTGATTTAAATCCTGTTAAGTTATATGGGCTTACAAGTTAAAACTTTCGAGAACTGTAGGAAGTAATGGCAAACTGCAACTCAAGAGGGAAAACAATTGGGAAATATAGATTGCAAGTAGTGACTCTTCTGACTCGAAATGTATCAACTTATGGAATGAGCAATTGGCAATGCAAAACGGCTAAACTTGCAAACTTTAACGTATCGTGCATGGCGAGAATTATTCAAACATTTCCGGATGAATTGGTTAAGTTAAACTTCCACACTCAATTTTTTATTGGGTATTTCGGGGTATAGCTCATTGAACTGAAATACTTCTCAACGTTTTATGAAGCTCCTTTTAGGTCAAATAATTACGCTTACATCCATTTGTCGAGTCTCTGAACAGACCTTAAAATACTTGTCAAAGAAACTGTTTTTTATTTTTTCTAGCGTTGCACATCCACCAATATTTTGCTTATCCAACTTATGGCGAATGATACTATGAATATATAAATAATATTTTTAACATTATTTTCACTCGCAAATTATTTCTTTTGAATACTTACTTATTATTTAGCTATCAAATGCGCTCGCGTTTATTTTTTAATTTAATATTTTCTTTGATAAGATAACTTCTGCGTTTCTAAAGCGAACAATAAAACATATAAAAATATTAATCACAAACCAAAAGAATTGACTTGAAAGGGTAGAAAACATGCCCTTGAGTTAAAAAAATATAGTTAGCAATTTGATGATTATCGTCGTGCTCTCTAGTTACTTTCCACTTTGCCTCCTGGAGTTATTTATTAATTATATTTTAAAATCCAAATAAAAACAAGTAACCAAATTATTGCCAATCACTCAATCGAAGCCAAAAGCTAAAAATGTTCATTAAATCGAAAGAAAACCTCTTTACCATACACAGGTTCGAAATTTTTGCTATTGCCTTCCGTGGCTACTGATTTCAATGCAGTTTAATTCTTACTATTTTTCAATCATATTCTGATTGTTTCATATAATAAATTAGTTACTGCTTACTTTTGAGCTACTACTAAATTAACTGATAAAATTCGCAATTTATCGGAACCGGAACGATTTAAATGTACTCCAACTTTTTAAATAAACATTAACACAACGGAATTAACCGCGTACTCCACTGAAAAAATATTGTTAGTTTGCTCTATATCAAATTTATTTAAATTCTGTATTAAGCGCTTTGTCCGGGAGATACGCAACATAACGTGGGTGTTATAGCTCCCAAGGAGTTTAAGAAAATTTATTTAAATTCTAGAGAAAAGTTACTTGAATAGACTTACAGATAATAGCGAGCCTCTAGACGAAAATAGTGTTTATTTTTGAGTAGAGACTATGGAAAAGAAGGAATACATTAGCATGCTAGAAACGAAAGTTTTCGTATTCAGCAAACGAGTTAAATTCATAAAATGAAACAGAGTGCATAACAAAAAAAAGTTTCAACAAAATACATGTACTTATATAATTCCGATTATGACAAGAATTACAAGATTCAAGACTTATTGCAACCTGGAAATTCAAAAAAGAAAAGTTTATAGAACATTGAAGCTAAATGTTGCAAAAACTTGGGAAGCTCGAAAAAATTCGTAAACATGTATTGACTTTCCGCTTATGCTAAGTGGAATTATTGGGGGTTCGTTAAAAACGTGGTTCAAAAAACACGAACATTCGGTGCCGAGAATTATTTTATCACATGAAAATATTAAGTTATAAACTCAAAAAAGTCATTTTGTTGTAATAAAATTGTTAATAAAACAATAAATTAAAATAAAATTTTAATTAAAAAATGTTTACAACACATACAAAAGAATGTTTACAAAAGAATTACAACTTAATAATAAAGTTGTAATTTAAAATATTCTTAAAATTTAAATGTTTAAAAATGCTTCATGTTTTCACCCAGTTGAAAAGCTAGCAGATGTTCACCATAAATATATTATAGACATATTTTCCTGAATCATTTCTTCAATTAGCCAGTTACACTAAAATTCCATTACATTCTTGACGAAATAAATTGCACTTTTATTTAAAGAAACTGCTTTGGATTATTACATGACAATTATGATATTTATAATTGCTCCCAAATAAAAACTGTACCTTTCATTAAAAAAAACATTAACAATCCGGGCTCAAACCTTGGCGAAATCTTTTAATGACAAACAACTGCAGGTTCCTTTAAGGAAAGAGGCCAAGTAAGGATTATTAAAACAAATAAAACCATATCAATTACGACAAATATTTACTGGCATCAAAGTTTCATCCTACAAAATATTTTGTACATGGTGGCTTATATCTAAGAAAACTATGTACAATAAAATATGAAAATCAAACCCCACTAAACAAAATAAAAACAAAATTAAAAGTGAGATCAGTCTTTTTAACAATGCATTTCTAAAACGAAAACGTTTCTTTTTTTGGATATTCCTTATAATGTATAATACTATAAGTACTGGCTTCAAGGGTAAGATATATACAAACACATTACTTAACTACAATGTATAAAGTTACGTGAATCGAGAGTTTGTGCTTTATAAAGTCAAGTAGATAACGCCATGTTTAATAATGGCATCTTATTATTAAGTAGCATGAAGATAATATAAATTGCCAGACGGCAACCTTTAAGCCTACTTTTCACATTAAGTTCACAAGACAACAAGTTCATTATTATACAGCGTGTTTTGACTAGTCAAAATTATATATACAGATCCAACAAAAATTATACATAATATACAAAGACAGGCATTCACAAGAAACTTGTACAACTTTCACTCTCTTTTACACTCACACTTTTATATACAACGTATTGTTATACCATTGTCACATTTCTACGTTTTTTCTCTCCGCTATTTACTGAGGTCATGGATCCTTGAAGGCTTTGGTTAAATTGAACGCTTTGATCTCTGGGCATGCTTTGGTAGATCTGGTTCTGTGGAGGGGGGCCTTGATGAACACCATAAATGCTGTAATTCACTGGATACCCCCCGTTATTAAAAGCTGGCAGAGGTGGAACTGGAGGTGGGTATTGTTCAACAATCTGATGTCCATTGACGTTCATATGATCCATGCTTTGACCATTAATTGACATGTGATCCATCTGGGCTAGCACTTCTTGATGGGTCATCAAAGGCTCCTCATTCATCATATTTTCCATTGGACTGTATCGTCTTTCGTGCTCATGGAGCAGTTGCGACGCGCTCCAAGAGTTGTATGGACTCAACGGCTGTCCATTTCGGTTTATGGTGTTGTTGGAAATAACGCTCAGTCCTGAATACGCAGGTGGCAAGTTATCCCTTTGTTGCTGCATCTGATGCTGTTGCTGTTGCTTCAATTCTTCGATAAGTTGTTGTTCCTGTTGGTTGACCAAAGAATATCGCTTCTTCGTTTCATCTTCATATGCATAGTTGTTCACAGGCACGCCTACCTGGTGTGGATCGGGAGCTTCAGTGCTTTGATAAGTATTATGTTGCGGAGAAGAGTTATTATGTTGAGGGCTGCTCGGGACGATAGTAATAGTTGAATTCAAGTTATCTTTTTTAATTGCATTTGCTTTCGCTGACTTGTGGTTGTTGCTAGCCTTCTTTCGGACCACGCAGAAGTAGCAATAGACTATTAGCAGTACTACCAAAAGAATGATTCCAATTGCAACTGGTAAGATTAGTTCCAACCCCACCGACATACTCTTTGCAATCCTTGGACCAACGGGATCTCCTCCAATCGGATGTACGTGATTTGGCCATTTGGACTGTTCATTTGGTGAGCTTGTTGGAGCGATCGTCGGTGGAGGAGGTGGAGATGGAACCAGAACTCTAACAAAGTTAGAAACAGGTCCAGATAAGTCTGCTCCCACTGTGCCGTACGATTTCACAGCAAAATAGAGTGGCTTATCCAGCAGTTCCTTGTTCTGAGACATATCAATAATATAAGTTGTTTCGGAACCAGCGTCCATGGGATAAGGGCCGTTATTTCCAGTATCCCAAATACTAGCGGCAGTTTCGAATTTGTCCAGTATGTCCAAAACGTTATATGCATACTTAATTTCGTATCGGGACACGCGGTTTCCTCCCATGTCAGGTGCTGCCCAGGTGAGTTTGGCTTTCATGTCTTCAGCATATATTTCTACTCGCAAGTCTCCGATTCTGCCAACTGGAATGGGATTTTCCAACTGCTCTTTGATATCGTCCATTGTGATGATCAGAGCTTGCTTGGTCAGGAATCGTTGGAATGGGGCAATCTGTTGGGCGCCGTTGCTTTTAATCGAGCTGCCACAACAAGGCCTGTGTTCTGAAAGGAAAAAAATCTTAGTATTTTTTGCATAGATTCTCATCTTTTACGTGCATTGCTGACAAGTTAAGCTTCGTTTTTTAAGTGTGACTGATTGGGTCTTACCTTCATTTTTCGAAGCACTCCATGTATAAGCCGTGTTATCATTGTTGCTAACAACTGCTTCAAAAGTGTGTAGGCCCGCATCCTCAGGGCTGAAATATCTCGTATAAACTCCATCCCCTTTAGTGATATCGGGGTCTCCAGACCCAGAATCCAACAAGTAGATGATTGAAGTTTGCGGGGTTGTATCATTCACTCCTTGCTTGGTCACTGTCACCTCAACTTTGGCTCCAAGGATTGGCAAATCGCCATACTTGGCTTCGGCCACAAGAACTAACAATCCGGCGTTGAGTTTCTGGATTCTAAATGACGCTTTCACGACTGGAACGTAAGCGGAATTGGGGGTGGCCAAAACTTGCAAATAGTGAGGCTGAGGGTTTCCAGCGTAAGGTTCCACGTTGTAAGTCCATGTTCCACTCTCAGAGAAGTTGGCATTCAAAGTGATCATCTTGAAGTCGATGTATAAGTCGTTTCTAGTATCGTAGATGTGGTTGCTTGGGCTGGTGAGTTTCAACCCTTTGAACAAGGGGGCGTAGTTGTTGTAGGTGAAGAAGGTAAACTTCACTTGTTCAGTCATGCTCGGGTCCAGGATGAAAGTTCCACTCACCAGCGGTCTGCCAGTTTTATCAGTTATTTCTTTACGATGAATCTGCAACAAAATAATTGTTAACTTTAATTTTCGAGTAAGACTATCTTGATAAATTGTAAGCTGCAACTAGACGGATACTAACTTCCAGAAAACACGAAAAGCTTGGTTGCTCTAGTACTATTTATGGCAAAAACACCTTAACTACCCTTAATTTATTTCTTCGAGGAAATGATAAAACGGTCTATGAACTTACCTCAACTAGAAGATCAGCTTGACTTCCTGAGTAAAATTTCTGCACAATATCATTTAGGACATTGTAGAGGTCAAAATAAGTGGTCAGCATCGTCGTAGCCACGTTCAACTTTTTCTCGAAAATGGTATAATCATATCCGTTGGTCTCTTCAGCAAGATATCTCAAAGTATTTGGTCTTACAATGTCTGGATAGTTAATCGTGGCCACTCGAATTTTATTTCGCTTCAAGTCGTCAACAGTATTCCTGATTTGATCAGTAAGCATCATACCGGGAGCTATAACGATAATAACGTTGCTTGCAGGGCCATTCGAAACTGTTCGCTCATTCAGCATGTCCATGGCGATTTTTAAAGCGCAATGTAGACAGCCAGGCTGAGAAGATTCGCTTGGTGTGTAGGGAAGAGCTGAGTAGAAATTATCTCGGTTCGGGTTGTTAGTTATAAAAGACCCAAACTTGTTAATGCTGCTTTTCATGCTCATAATTTTGAAGGACTTGTTCGGGGTTGCGGTGGCAAGTACCAGGCCCAGTTCGGTGTTATCGGGAACAATGTGCTTTGCCCAAAATCGAATAGCCAAGCGCAAGTAGGTCCAAGACTCTCTCTGCAGCATATCTTTATTACTCTCGACCACAAAGACATAACGAGTCAAGTTTTGCTTCTTAAAAACAATCAGAGGAGCAGTATCAGCGATTTGATTGCTACTGAAACTGTGCTGATCACCACCCTCAGTGAAGTCGGGATGTTTTAAAATCACGTCCAACACGCTTCTTCTCTGGCAAATCAGATTGTGTTTAGTCGGTGCATACCGATCATGGTTTCCGTCATCACAGAACATTGAGACCCAAGGAGCTTCAGCAGTAAACATAATTGACGATCTCGCGTCTGGATCGACCATCTCAGTAACGTTATAAGGCGTGGAGTCATCTGAAGAGCAAGCTCCGTTATCGTTGATTGGCAAATCTGAGCATCCAGTAACTTTAACTTTCTTCTTCAGATCGTCGATAAAACACATCGGGTATACGGGATCATTGAAGTAGCCCTGCTCTTCAAATACTCCATAACGGTACATGGCGAATTCTTTGATCAAAGCTCGAGGTAGAGCGGGATTTCGATGTTGTAGGCTCTCGAAGCTCAGAAAAATTTGGTCTCCGGGTCTTCCACAGCCAAGCGTTTGTTGGGTGTAGAGGTTTCCTCTGATTGGATCCGATGGTAGAACTGGAAACAAATACAATGTTTTAATAAACTTTTTGATGCGTCAGTAGAAGAGCCAGTAACAGTTTTGAAGGTTCATGTGGGATGATTCTCATTGAGATTTTTGAAATATGAGTGAAATACCACGGGAGCTATTAGAAGGGGAAACTAGCGATACCCTGTGTGTTCTCACTCTTTTTATTAGATTCAGTTGCCTATTTTTACTTGTGAGCCCCCATAAATTGTTGCATACATGAACTTTACGAAATCAAGTTTGTTAACTAAATGACCCACCCTGGCTGACGCTCTATAACATCCCGTTAGCTTGAGAGCAGCAGTTGCAACTTTAGCGTAACTATTATCTTGAATGAGATAAATCAATTTACCCGTTATATCTGAAACTTCTCCGGAAGCGCCTAAAACCTCTGTAGACGCACAGGAGTCCGGCCATGACGAAGGAAGTAAAACAGTTGCTGATCGAAAGTAGGCCCTACTGTCTAGGGCGGAAAACAGGTATGCTGATGCACTTGTCAGCGTTCCCTGAAACAAAATACGAACAGATGAGTAAACGATGCCACGTGATCTTTTAGAGTTAACAGTTTGCACCTGTGACGATGAGTTAAAACCTTTTGCATTCGGAAAACGGAAAAAAGTCATCAGTTACATTCAACACTGTGAAGGTGAATTAGAATTGACGTCAAGGTCTAATGATGGAATATTAATTATACATTTAAAGCGCTGATGCTAATACGAATTGTAACATTGTTTATTCCTAAGAGGTTCTATAAGTTTACGGATTACGTGGGAGTTAAAGACACACATATGTAAATATGTGGTAGAAGCGAAGACAAGTTTCAATTTATTAGTCGTTTTTACCGGCAGCGGGAAAATTAAATAACAATTCGATGAATACCATTCTCACAACGTCGATGGAGGTAAAGTAACATTAGCAACGAGTGAACGTCTTTTGCCATTTACTTCGACTGCAATCGTGATCTTAGGTCACGACTCGAGCATCTTCATCCTACGAAATGTTGCTCTCGATCTTCAGATTACTTCGAAGTTGAATTTAGGTTCTCTGTGGTTTTCTATCGATTTGGCATTTTGTTACCGTAGTGTAACAGCCCACGATGATGAGTAGACGCAATTTAAAATAAATGAAACAATTAGTCGTTACGGTTTTCCTGCATGACTCGCAGCATCGTGGATTGGTATCAAAATTTGTAACTTAACGTAATCATATGCCTTAATTGTACCATCTCTTAAAATCTCCTATGTGAAGATGGTTCCTGTGTCTTCGGCATATTCTTCTATGAAACAGTTTCCTGTCGTGATAGCAAATTCTACTTGGAACTAAAAACCTATGCTGAATTGCAACGAGTTCTTTCCCCAAAGTTTTAATTGCAATAAAATTGCCATTTCATACAAGTACATAAACCTCATTATCAAAACTGAAAGTGCTTACAACCACTGAGACACTAAAACATCACATACAATATGTAGTTGGTTTCGTCAAGGCGCTACTGTACAACTTTGTCTTTGGAAGTGTCTAGTCGTAGCAGGCAATAAAGTTAACTCTTTACATAAAAAAGAAAGCCTTCCTAATTAGACTTTAGATTTCTTTGCTTGTTTTATGTAAGTGGCGTATTTTCACTGTTTGTTTATATTGACGGGCTGGCCGCGAAATTGACGGTAGTTAAACAAAACGATTTTACACTTTCTTCAAACTGAAACTTGTTTAGGAAGTGTGTCAGAATTTTAACGGACATGTAATTACGATTGTTTCCAGTAATGGACGGATTATGCATGGCCTTTAAAACTAGTTTGGCAATTTCTTTTTGATGACGAAAATTTGAACTTATTTCGACACCATAAATGTTTAAATTTGTTGGAGGCAATTCAGATAAATCGATAGTCTTCTTGAGCTCTATTTCTTCAAGCCTGCAAAACTTCCTGTGTTTTGCTTTTATGTGCAATACAATGGTTTAAACTCTCGTTAACGTCTCGTGATAGACCATGAAATTACTTCTTAAAGGAGCCTTAAAAAATGCATGCAATACGATGGTCTGATTTAAAACATTTTCCACCTCGCACCTTTTAAATTACCTGGAATCGCGCTGATTGAAAATCTCTTTTGTTCGATATAGAACAATAAGCTCTGACGCTTTTCGAGAGAAAGCTTTAAATTCAAATAATATGCACCATTGTCATGTTCTTTTAGTTTATTTTAGAGAACATTTAACTGACTAAAACGAAACCGAATGGAGGATTTCATTTGAAAAGTAAACCTGAAAATACTAACACTTCAGGCATTGTTAAAATGTTAAAAGTCGACGTTTCCAGCATGCATGGAAAAACGCTTTGACGGAAAAATTACTTTATGCGTTCATCAAAAAATTACCTTGCATAATTCAAGGCAATAAAATAACAATTGATCGATTGAACAATAGGTAATGCGGCGATGCCATTTACAGTGAATGATTCACGATATTTGAAAAAGTTTCAAGCGAATCTTGCGTCAAAGTTGATAATAATTTCGGTTTAAGAGTATCATGACCCATAAACTTGGCACATCGCACGGATGATCAGTGTTCCGAAGATTTCCTTTTAGAGTAATCAATTTTGGGAAACATTAAATGGATCAACTGAGTTACCTTCAGCTTCCTTTTTGATCTCAAAGAATGTTTAAAGTAATGATGAAAAATTCAAAATCACAGAACAATAACTCAGCCAAACCAAACCTTAGTTGTTTGACGAGAAGTTAACACCTGAATGCCAGTGGGATGGGTTGAGTTTAAATATTTTTGAATCCCACGATCGCTTGTAGGCTTGTCTCTTTTTAGCAAATCAGTGATCCTATCGGTTTCTTCTTTCTTGTTATGGCATTGTTACAACTTCTGTAGGCGTTGATGTATATTGGTTGTCAAAAAACGGAACAAGCTGAACTGAACGAATCTATTAATTCTTGGAAAATTAAACTCGTGTAATGTTTATTATCGGGGCAAAAGCCAGTTTTCCCAGTCAAGTTTGGTAAGAAATTTGATATAAGATGTTAAACCTTTATATACAAACAGTTTTGTTCAATATTGACAACATGTTTCTGGACTAAAGATTCAAAGTTCAGGAGAGTTTTTATTACATATTTAAATTCAACTTAAAATGTATAATACTTGCAAACAGCTCATGAGTAGACTGACCGCAAATTTGTATGAATGATCAGTTGTATTCACTGAACTCAGAGCTCTAACCAATTACTTAATTATCTACAGTTTGAACAGAAACATCCCCTATCTTTGTCGTTGATATAAACGTTGTCGAAGTTTTCTCCTTCAACTTAATGTTTCAGATATTGTACCGACCAATGCTTTTAATTAATGTGATTACCATAAAATACCATCATATCATAAGCATGGTAAGCCTAGCAGAAATAATTACATAGCCATATTGCAAAATTCATTATAAGTTATTTTTATGCTGCCATGGTGGAAGAAACCTTGAAAGTAATGATCATCGAAGGTACCTTGCCTACAGTGCATCTTTATTAAACATTCATGCTGCCTTCGTGTTTTCCGTATTGTATTTATTTAAACAAAACTATCCAATTAGCCAGCAATAAATGCATGAGCAATACAAGCAACAAAAAACTTTTCAAGATTAAAGAGTTGTTTTAAGTGTGCTTTTTTAATAGATGAATAAAAATCCAAGATTACTTAAAGACGGTTGATAAAATTTCCTTTCAAGCAAAATTTAAGAAAAAAAAAGTTCTCTTGCTGAAGTTTCCTTTTCCCAATTTTGTTTCAGTTAGTGCAAAGAGAGCATAATTGCCGTAACTTCGGATTCGGATTGTGCGACTCCTTTATCTCCAATCCAGAATCCGAAAAATATAAAATTTCATTTGTCCCTGGTCGACAGTTAAAAGGCAGTGCCTAATTTGAAATTAACTGTTAGGTAAGCAAAACCATTTAGAGAACCCGTGAGAAAACCGTAAAGCGCATCTCGTGATTGTAAGAATGCTCGTACGGAGTCAACGTAAAGTAATGTAAATATAAATACACTCTTGAAGATTTTTTACCTTCTGGTCAATTACCACTTCTCTAAGAACAGGACTGTATCTGAGAGAAAAAAATCTTCTGACTTCCCAGTAGATTTTGCGATAAATATTTGAATAAAAAAGACTAAAACTTAAGACTTTTTTTATAATTGTTCTTCAAAAAAGTATTTATTGAGCAATATGCTGTCGCCATAAATATTTTACTTTTTATTATATTTAACAACACAATTGAATTATTCCAGAAAGCAAAGGCCTGTGCTATTGAACCTTTTTTGTTAATCTTTTTAAAGCATATGTATTATAAGTAAAAACAATGATTTATTCTTAAGGACCTGTTACCTTTGCTAGAATTTTCAAATAGAGTGCGCATTTATTTGTAATTGAATAACGATATACCGATAGATAATTTGAAGGTTTCAGTCTGCAAGATATTTAATTTCCTGGATGTAAACGAGTTTTTCCATTCGAATTTTTATCTGTCACGTAGAGTTCTTTAAATAAATGCATTAGCTGCAGACGACTGCAACATGAAAATTCATTAAAATAAAAGTGTTACAGAGAACTTTTTGCTTGAAAAATATTTGATTAATTAGGTAGATACTATTCGTGCATTATCTTAAGTACATACAAAGAGTACAATAAGAGCTGCAGATAAAACCTCCGTAATATCGTGCCACCTTAAGTTACATAATGCCTCACATGATTAATATAGAGTTATTATCCATTTTCTGCTCGCCCATAATTACCATTGCGTTCTCACTGAAAATAGTCTCGAAACTAGCAATTTAGCTAGAAGTTTTTTGGGTGTTAATAGCGGCAATTACCGAATTTAAGGTGAAATTGACGGTCAGGGAACTGTGGGGCGAGCTTTCGTTGATTGCGAGATTAGCCACACACATAAAAACAGTAATTAGCGGCAAATATCTAAAATATCGAATATAAGGATGATCAAGGCAAAAAGTCCTAAGAGAAAACACCGGTGACTCACATGTGTAACAAAATATTACCAATTCATCAAATAATTTCAATTTACCATATTACATATTCATCATGACGTGTCTTCATCAAAACCCATAATTCAATTTATCGAAGGTAATTTCTTATTAATATACGCTCTTCATTTTCGTAATTGAAAAACATGCGGCGTAATTCGATTTGGGCCCCACATACGGAACCATCAGTTTAATGCTACATCAAATTGTTGACAGGTTTTTAATTTCTTAAACGGTGAACCCTTAGAAAAACGTTAAGAGCTAATTGAAAGCCGACACCATACCGAACTATCTCCTAAACGGTTTTTGTTTTCATCAGTTTTAGCACTTTTGCTACTTCATTAACTTCCTAACAAAGCCGTATGCTGTCGAAGATATTTTTTGCCTGTTGTTCATGTATCTTTTTTCGTGCCAGTGTAAAAGGATATCAACTGACGAAATCTGACTTATGGCAGCGTTTTGGTAAACCGAATGTTAAACATATGGTTAGCTACAAA